GATGATGATGATGATGATGATGATGATCAGAAAAGTCATAAACAGTACGCCAACTGTTGCACAATCAGCCGCCGACAGAGTGGCGTGGGAGAGGTCCGTGGGAGCGGTAAGACACACCGTAGATGGTGGTTACTATTTCTGGCGTTGCCGCACAACCCCAAAACTACATTACGCATATTTAAAACTTAAAAGGAGTATAAGAAGTAGTAAGAAAAATAAAAAATTTCCGATAATCCCCAAGTTCCGGAGACGTAAAAAATAGCAATAATTTAGAAAAATAAACTTAAATATGTTCTTTTTCTGAAAAGTTTACGTAACCACTTTCTTTATAGAAAAAAGAACTTCTTTTTAGTCCAAATGTTTTGTACAGATTACCATCAATGGATAACTATTTATTTAATATCGCATTTAAAATTGTGGAGTCATTGCTTCCGTTTTTAGTGTCTTCATTTGTTAAGGCATAAACTGATCTTCCGTTAGACCTTCACACGAAAACCTTTAGAATAATATATAAATAAAGAGCAGTTACCGAAAGAAAGTGTTTCTGGATATTAGTTCTTATGAAGATGGCCAGATGGATCATATTTAGAAATGCCTCAAAATAGCAAACCACATTATCGAGCATACAGAACGTCCGCAAGATAACATTTATATTGTTATTCTCAAGATGAATAGAAAAAAAAACTTTCCATAATAGGTAACCTCTTTAAAAAGTAGTTTGATTGGAAATTCAGCTGACGAATTTCTGAGTATACTAACTTTTTCCAAGGTAATGTCACAATGAAATTGAAGATTTTTGAGAATTTTTTAATTTACCTGAAGATAAACTATTCAGTTTGACTTAAGTGAAAGAACTTACACTTCTATTTTTATTAATTATTTTCCGCCATAGTGGATTATTTCCAGGATCTGTTATAAGCCTTCGAGTGCAAAAAAGAGTGGCCATATCGCAAGGGGTTAAGGTATTAATAAAAACCCAGCAACTGCGATCTTCAGACCATGGTTACTTAGTGCAGAAGAGAAGAACCCAGCAACTGCGATCTTCAGACCATGGTTACTTAGTGCTGAAGAGAAGTCCAGCGCGTTCATTGGCTAGGTTGGCCTATCGCAGGGGGTTAAGTGAGTTAAACTATTAAAGACTTCCTTGGAGACCGTATCGCAGGGGATTAAGTGAGTCTAACCGTAACTGCGATCTTCAGACCATGGTTACTTAGTGGAGGAGAGAAGACGTCAAAGGCCAGAGTAGAAGGAAGAGTTTATTATGTACACAATGGAAGGAGAGTAGG